CCAGCTGTTTTATGCGCATGTATTGTTGAATGCACTCATTGAGAGATCTTGCCCAAATCAAACTTAAACGTACATCGTTACCGCTCGAATTATCACTTCAAACCGAGTGGTGTCAAGTGGTCACATCAAATCAAGTGGTCACATCACATCAAAACAAGTGGTCACATCACATCAAATCAAGTGGTCAAATCAAGTGGTGACCGAGATTCACCACTTGATTCGATCTCTCTAGTGCAAAGGGTTAATAAATCCTTGTTTGCAGAGGATGATCATATAGAGAGGGCATCATTTTCGAGGTTGAAATTTCTCCGCTTAGACTTCCAAATTATCTTTGATATGTATCATATGAAACAACTTTTAAGTAAAATTATAACCTGTAATTATTATATAATTTAGGATCTATTAATTAATGATAATATTAACATTACAGCTTACCCATTTAATATATAACGTGAAAATCAATTACGGTGAATTTCCAACTTAAATAGTAATCATAGTATGTGAATTCCAGAAAATTAAAATATTTAAATATTAAGAAAATAATTGTTAGAGTGAGGTGAAGACGCGGCACTACGCTCATGAGCAACACCATGTAAGGATTTCTAACTGACTGGCTGCGTTTGGTTGGACGCATTACTTAGTTCATATATAATCAAAGCACATTTATTATAAATTTATGAGAAGCTCTATTAATGATACGTGACGACATTGACCATTAACATTGAAAGCATAAACACAATATCGTTAAATAACGTTATTGTATTATGTTAGGATCTTGCTAGCGGCAAGAGTATTTCTTTTCGCTAGCAAGATCGTCAGTATATTACTAGTCGAGATCTTGCTTGCTATTTGTTAGTCAAGAACTTAATAGCTTTCTGATGTATTGCTCTCTCTGAAGCAATCTGCAGACTGAATTAGTCACGCCTTTTTAATTTTTCGGTCGTATTGTAAATCCTCTGATTTGTTGCAGATGATATCAGAGGCGCAACAAAATCTTTGGTTCTTCATCTTCCTTCAAACTGAGGGGTTTGATGACAGATACAGTGCAGATCGCTAAAATCTTTTGACACTATCTTGAAGTTATGACTCTTAGAATGTTAAGTGTAGGCGTTACTGAACACGTTACTGCTTCTGAAATGTGAGAGAATGCTGTCTCACATCTCGCAAAAGAGACTACACACATGAATTTCTTACTATTTATATTTGAATAGAAAAATCTTTCTTAAAACGCATAAAAATGATAGAGTTCTGCCAATAAAAAATTCCAAAATATAAGGAAAATTAAATTCGGAAAGGACCTAGTGAATTAAACTAACATGAATTGAATAATAAAACTGCATTTTTGCTTAGAAGAAAATTCATATTCTTCTGATTCAATCTGTACTGAACATTAACTTAAATTAATAATATATCGAATAGATAAAATACTAAAATATTGCCTAGCGATAATGATGTTATGGGTTAATATTCGTATCCTTATTTATTCTATTAAATATTTGTTCCCATTGTTGTTCATCTGACACATGTATGATACTCAATGTGAATGAAAAGAATTATTTTCTCGAAGTATGGTAAAAATAAAATAGCAGCTTTTCCTTAAAAAAAATTATGTGCGATTATTGATAAATTTAAAACGAAATGACGGTTAGATAGGAATACGTAACAAATGCGAATTTAATGCAAAAGTTTTCAGCCCAAAGCAAAACGACTTACATTTATAAATGAAAAAAAGGCAATTCGAGGAATAATCCTTTCTCAAAGATGAAAAAACGGACTGCTCTTTTAGAAGGAAAAAGGGAATCATAAAAATTTCGGAAGAGAATAGAAAGCTGGGACGAAAATTGTGGGAAAATGTTTAAAAGCTATATAATAAATTTAAATAGGAACTAGTTGGTAATTACATCGCCCTTTTTCTGAATTTATACAAATAACTTTAATATTTACCTATTATCTATTGTAAATCATTGCTAATTTACTCTTATATTGTGAACGTTTTTATTTAGATGTGGTATACACTAGGTTATTCGAGTATGAATTATCCGGTTTGCTGATTGCCCGTGCTTGGAGCCACGTTCGTTCACTTACCGCCTGTGCGAGAGTTGTGTAAATCCCCAAAACGCCCCAAGACTGAACATGTTCTAAAGACCACTGAACTGCTTTTTAAGTTTGATTCCAACGATTCCTTGCCACAATTCTTTCTACATGTGCATAGTCGAAGACATAGTTTCGGTTGATTAATGAGAATTGTGTGTTTAGTGTTTTTTGTAGTATTTGTACGTAAATGTCGACAGGAAAAACATCTAGGAATGTTTGGATGGCGATTGGAATAAGCTGGACTTTCAGTGCTCGAGCAATGCGGAGAGTAATTCAAGTCTGCCAAGAACAGAAGAAGCAGAGTGATTCTGAAGATGCAAAACAACAAGCTACTGACAATTAAGTTAGTCCCGAGACTGCAATATCTTCTGTTGAAACTCTGTCAACTAAAGGAGAATCGAATACAGAGAGAAAACAGCACTTCGTAAAATACGCTTTCAACTTTGAACAAAACATTAAATGTTCTCAAATACAAAAAGTAAAATTACTTGGATTATTTTAAAGAAGTAAACATATGAAATATGCCTGATAACCGATGTTTGTAGTATCCGAGTTTTTCAATGATTCGTGACTTGCTTTTCGGCATTGGCCCAAATAATCGAGAGTGCATTGTAGTTGGATCTAAATTTAAAATGATATTACCTGAGTGAATAAATAAGACCCGCATGTTTCAAATTTTTGTCTGAAATAACCGAACTTACACCTTAGAAAGAATTAAATTAAATTGGAATGTTATTTGTTGTTCGCAAGTATTGCTTGATGTCAAGAATTAGTATCTATAAAGACGAAGCTTAACCCACAAACACAAGTGTTAAAATGAAAACTACCGCATCCTGAAAATATTTCTAATAAATAAAATAAAACTTTACGTAGTATCTACAGAAATCAGTACAACGTTGAAGTGGTTTTTAAGATGGTGTAAATGAGCAGTATTTTAAAATCATTCTTATTTGCTTTCTGGAGAAGTTAGTTTGCTTAGTGGTACAGCATTTAATACTCAAAGCGGAATATTTTTCAAAAGAAAATGGGATAAGCCAGAGTGCCATCATATCTTCCACACATTTCTGAAAGGAATAAAATAAATACTTACGTTCAAATGTATACCTAATTCTCTGTATTAAAAATGTTTCAAAAGAATCGATTAAAATGTCTCTGCAGAAGTTTAAAATGCATTGAAAGTGATACACATTAATTAATATTAAGTTAACCAGTTCATAGTAATTTCACGAAACCGATGGTTATTTATTACAGAGTGACTTTCGTCTAGTGTCTACTTCTCCACATCATAAAAATTTAAATAAATACCAGAGTTAGGGAACAATGTACAGCACAGACGCTAAGAAAAAATATAAGAGTCTTGAAAAAATTGAGAGACAAGGGAAACAGGATCTTTGCTCAATTTACAATAATTTACTTATATTTGAATGTTAATTTGAACATAGAAATCAGAATTTAGCTATGTTTTGTATAAAGTGGAGAAATATCCGAGGCATAATTTAATCTATGTGTATAGATTCATGGAAAATTACATGTAATTTTCAATTTGATTACTAATAACGTTTTTCGGCATATATATATTATTTACTTTTGTAGCTAAACTGAGCGAATTTTGAAACATTTAACTTGCAATAAATATTTAGCCCTGACATAACCTAAACTTTGTAAACATGTTCGTGTGCTTAGGGTTAAATAAGACGTTCTAAATAGGAAATGTGGAGTAATTAAAAAGCATTAAAGTATTACTTTTAGCATATAATGCAAATGTTTTATTTTAATCGGAGTTGTAAAATACGGAAGTTGTTTGTAACAAGTATAATAGAATGTATTCTTCAGTTGCCAAACTAGGCATGCTTATGAAATTCAGCATTTTATTAAAAAGGATTATATTTTTAAAAGTACATTTTAAAAATTTCAAACCAAATGATAAAAAAGTGGTTTAAACATACTGACTCTGAATAGTTAGATCAGCCAATTCCTCATTCATCACGATTTTGATTCTCGGTAACTTAACAAACGCTTAATCTGCACTGCTTTCTATTTAGATAATTCAGACTATCGTACCACTGAATGCTTTTAGACGAGATTACTCAATAATAAAACAACACAAATAAATGAATAAATAAATAAATAAATGTTTACAAATGTCTGTAAGGTTTCAGATTTTAACGGTTACCCAAACGTCCACCGTTAAAGCTGAATATACAGTGGTGGCCAAAATTGTGGACACTTTTGGAAATTTTTAAGTTTTTGAACTTTGTATGGTTATAGAAAACGTTACGTTTCACAAAATGCAAACTTGTATATATCATTTAAAAGAGAATTTATTACTGAATTCAATACAAAACACAAAATTCAATTATTTGCAATACAAAAAAAGTTAAACGATAATAGTTATCGATATGCATTAGATAGTGATGATTGCAGTGAGTTATCAGTACTTAGTAGGGTACCCTTTATTTTTGATTACAGCTTCACACCGACGTTTCATTGAGCTGACAAGAGTTTTATGCTCTTCTTTCATTATTACATGATGCCAGGAAACAATATAATTTACTTATATTTGAATGTGATATCATTTGTTTTTGCAATCATAAGATTAATATTTTATTTCTTAACAAATTTATTAGCAATATTCACTCATTTATGTCGTTTTTCGTGCCAAAAACGGTAAAATAACGGATGTCGTAAAAAATATGACGCGCGCGTGCTCATGTAAATTTGCCAAGTGCGCGTGCTAGAAGGTTAAACCCAATCAAAGAAATTCCAAATAAAAATATTTCTGATTCACATTAATTTTTTTCTATTATCTTAAAATAAATGTAGATATTCCTACAGTATTTAAATAAATGGAACTCTGAATTACGTAAATATGAATGGTAAGACATTTAGTACTTATTGTTTTATAGATACCATCAGAGGAAGATGGAGGAAGTATCGAAGGATTTTACGTCGGTTACAAACTGTACGGCAGTCCTGATACTTACACGTTCAAGCCAGTCGATTCAATAAAAGGCAGAGAACAATATTTCGTTGTAACAAACCTCAACCGGTTCACGGAATATAATATTGTGGTGCAGTCATTCAACGCTCGTGGAGCTGGACCCCCATCTGAAGAAGTTACAGCAAGAACCCTGGAGTTTGGTAAGTCTAACATTAGTCTTTATTTTATGTATGCGAGCGCATTAAACCTTTTCATTTAATGCCATATCGACTCAAATAAAAGATACCTTCACATACAAGATGATTTCACCTTTTCAAAATATTTTACGTGGGAAAAAAGGCTGTACATTTTAACGTATTTTCTCTCTCCATACTGCATATCCCCTCCTTCTGGAGTCGTTTATTGTGTTGGTGCATATCTGTACTACGGAAGTCTCGAAATAGGAGTACATAAACAGGGACCTAACGGTTCCAGTAACCTCTAGGAGAGGAATGTGGTAGAGGATTGATCTATAGGCCAGATAGTCTACAAGTCTGCAATGTACTGGCGAGTGTATTTGGACGACTTATCCCATCTCTAGTTTCATAGGCCCATCTTATCGTACCCTCTGTACCCCGGTGTAATCCTAGGTGGCCAATTTAACAATCTTGCATTAGAAATTCAAGAGAAAGAAGGGAAGAGTGGGATCCGTAGACGTGCAAGTATGAATTTCTATTGCCACTCAAAAAAGGCTTTCTGACTGGCAGTCGCACCTCCTCGCTGATACAGTGTTTCTTAGTGAGGTCAGTCCGTGTAGTGCCTAAATGTCTGAACAAGCAAAAAATTGCCTATTTTCTTACCGCGTAGCTTCGTGTTGTAGTCAGGAGTACCCAATGACTACAGTGCTTTCCGAACTAAAACACCAAAGGTCGTGGATGATAATTCGTCATCACTGGAAGTTGTAGATTGGGTCCACTTCTCCCCAGTCGCCCTTTAATTGAGGAGTTTTTCTCCCTTTAATGGGGAGTTTTTCTTCCTCCTATCTGGTATAAGTGGAGCGAATGTCGGTCTCAAAAATCGGAAAATCTAGAGTGCGATCCGAATGAGGATATATAAATAAAGTGACTAATTCAGTATCATATATAACACCTCGTTAAGAAGTAAAAGTTAAGTTAAATAGATAAATTATTTTAATGTTTTAAACATTATTTCCGGCATGTTATTCTAACATAGTTTCAGGAGATATTATTGATTTTGTGGGAAGACTTTGTTCCACATAAGGCCCAACCTGATATATAATAATATTAATTAGCATCCGGAAATGCCCATATTGAATGTTATATCATTTACGTAACACCCACATCAAACAATCTTTACCCTTTGCTTTAAATATTATAAAAAGTTTCACTTTCTCGACCCTTTTGTTTTGAATTTCTCTCAACCCATTTTTTGAATTTCTCTAGACCCATTTTTCGACCCATTTCTCTAGTTCATATATATCAACTTTCGCAAGCACAGTGAGGTATTTTACGGCATTCCTTTCAGCTTACTGGCTAACTAAGTAATATTTATACTACAAATATGTGCCCATTATAATAAATAAAAATTCATTACAATAAATAAAAAATCTCCCCTATTTAAATTATTAGTATATTTTACTCTCATGGGAGTCCTGTGAAAATGAAATCCATTAAGCAATCTGCTAGGAAAAACGATACGCATGCAGAATATATGCAATATGCAATATTAATTATTAAAGGAAAGAAACAAAAATACAAAATTCTTAAATGAAATGTTGCGGCATGAAATGAAAATTTAAAGCCGTTAGCTTTCAAAACATTACATAAAAATGTTTCAGTGCACCCGACAAAAAACAAACACTGCGCCAAAACACTTAACGTATTATAAACTTTAATTCATTCCTTGAATATTTACGACTATCACAGCATTAAAATTTCCAAATACTTTCGTTAGCTTAAGTGTGTCTTACATATATAATGTTAGCCATAATGTTAAAAAGGAGAGATAATAAAATTATATGCGTAAGCATATATTATTAAAAGAATAGAAGAGATATTCAGAATAGTTTGCGTAGATGTGCAGCGTTATGCCTTTGAATTTTTAAGTAATATATTTAATGTCGTCTGATTCAAGATTAATGCTAAGGAAATCGCAGTGTCTAAGAATAATTACGTGAGTTATATAAACGCAACTGCAGTAGTTTTACTCATTTTATATAAATTGTTCCATAAATGTTGTATAAGCACTGCATGGAACAGTTCATCGCTCTGGCGGGACAAATAAAAGTATACAGCAATATATTATCATGATGTCTCATAATTTTAGAGCAAAACAAGGATAAAAGGTATAATGACACTATCGGTGTAAGTAATATATATATATAGAGAGAGAGAGAGAGAGGATATTTTTTCAGCATTTACAAATTTTTCTCCCTCAATAATTACATAAGATCAATGGCGCATTTAGAATTTTTAAAATATTTTATGCCAAGGACAGTGCCTGAGATTGCTGCCTACACCTAAATAATGAAAAATCTCCATAAATGTATGTATATTTCTCGCATTGTGATAAAACAACGGTACATAGAGAGATCGAATTTTGAATGACGTAATCCTCCTACGAATACGGGCATGGGGAAGACCAAAATGTGAAATTTGAAATTTATTTTATTATCGGTTTCATATTTTTAAAACTTTAACGAATTTTTGATTAAAACAACTCAAGGATTTCAAAGCCAGTAATGGCAACACTACGGGGAAAAAGAAAACCTTTCTATCTCCAGCGCGCAGAACTGTGTATCGGAAATTCTAAAGATATGCCCATTTTAAAATTTATTTGCGACATTGCTATTGAACTGAATTTTATGGTTTAAGTGCAAAGAACATGATATTTAATAACTAAAAGTACGTTAAATACGTTAAGAAATAACCTCTTTGGACGTAATTTAAGATCTGAAATCTTTCAGATCTTTTTTTATTTTTCATTGCTGTCGTTTTAACGATATTATTTTTCTTTTGCGTTATTTGTTAAATGCTCACTAACTTTAATATTGACTTTTATTTCAATTTCATCGATTGATGATATGAAAATTTTTATTTTATCAGTATGAATAAAATATAAATTGCTTTACCTATAACATTCTGAAACCTTAAACTGTTCTAATTATTTGCAATACATGTACCACTTTCCCATATTCTTTATTATTCAACATAAAGATGTTCTATAATAATACCCTCATGATTTATTCATAAATTTAAATATTCCCATGTTGTTCTCTTTAAGTGCATTTTCTAATGTTAGCATGAGTATGGAATTACTGTTTTGGTTGTAGAAGCTTGGGCAATTTCTACCTGAAATATGTTCACTGGGGGTTTGAAACTGTAACTCTCGTCTTCAACAGCCTTGGCATTTCTGACTAATGAACAGACATGAAATGTTGCTATCTCGCGCTATCAGATGCAAACCGAAATGGAGAGTAATCATAGCTATAGAATAACAGCGAGAAATGTGTCTCTAGTCGTGGCTTTTTTTTAATAACCTAACCAAACGAAGTAACGTATTTGTCAGAACTTATGGTAATTTGACCTAGATAATCACATTTTTGCTTTATATATCTTTACGTACACTTTGCACAATTATATTACCTTATTTATCCAAATGAAGTTTTTCAGAATTTTCCTTGCACACTCCAGCTTATTAATAATCATACAAATTATGTTCTCTATTCATTAGATGGTAAAGCTGGCAATTTGGTAATGTTGCAGTTATTTTTACATTATTGCATGTGAATTAAATTGAATTCTACAGTTGTTGCAATACTTGAAATGTCATAAATCCTTCTTAAAGGATATCTATGTTCGCTAACAGTTTCAATCAAAATTTTAAAAGTATTCTGAACAACCATCAATTTAGTTACTTAAAATTTCGAAATCGCAAAACAATATTGTGCTTGTCAGAGTTTGTTAGTTTCTTAAACTATGATATCTCTTACATTATAATTATTTATTAATTTCTGATAAATTAAAGCACTGAATCATAAACTCTGGTTAAAGAAAATTTTGTCACGAATAAGTTCTTTTGTGTATATTGTATTCCCTCTCGTAAAGAAGATCCCTTTCTTTAACTAATTTTCTCGTACGAAAATCAAGAGAGGAAAATTATACGAGAAATCTAATTTTTGAAGAACGTGATTACAATAAGAACATAATAAATGAAAACAGTTGTCGCGCCTCTCGCAGTGAAGGCTAGCTCTGAAAAAGTAAGAAAATAAAAAACGTGTATCCTATATTACTTCTGTAACTCCTAAAAGGAAGAGGTAGTATGACATGTAACAAACACAATTTCACAAAAATATTCATTGAACAAACTTTTTCTGTCTTGTGACTACTTCTGCCAGATAAGGAAATTACATCTCATTGCTACAATCTAAATATTTTAAACGGAGCAGAACGTTACGTGAGGTAAATCTTTGATTCGTGCAGGCTATAGAGTGAAACACTGTCATTCGCAGCATATCTTCCCTACTCCTGAGGTACTAGATAGATACTCAAAACAGTCACTTAAAACTTACATTCAGTTTCTGTGGAGCCCACCAGCGGCCGAGCGGTAAAGTCGCTGAACACTGGTAGTTCGGTCCGAGATTCGAATCCCGCGAACGGGCTGGCTGCATGTGCGTTTTCGTGGTTTTCCCCATGTGTAACGTGTATACGAGCCAGTTTCCCTTAGAAAGTCCTCCACGAAGGCATTCCTCCCCTTAGGCAGATAGCCCTCGAGGCTTTGTGATAATCACACACACAGCTTCTGTGGTTTTGCGGAGTACGACCAGATCAAGTCGCAGTCTTTTAAGGCTTCCTATAGTCCTATAGTCGTCATCATCTGGATTTCGCGAATGTGTTGGCCTGTCACTTGAAGAAGAAATTTCTCTAGAAATACCACGGGCAAGTCTTGACTGCAAACCTCTTGATAATATGTTCTTTCAATTAGTAGGTTATATTGTGGTTTTAGTTTCACAGTTCTTACTTCACCGTCTTTACCTGGAAATAACTTAATAAATTTGTGTAAATGTAAATCAAAGCGCTTTTTGAAATAATTTTTTTTAAAGATTTTATCGATTTTGCATTTGGATAAGTTGCTTTTTATTCTTTTCCCAAAACTGTTAACATAAACCTCGTCAATATCCGCAACTCCTGAATCCGGTCTG